CTGGGCGGCCCGTTGTGCGTGCTGCTGCCTATGACTGCGCCGCAGTGCGCTGCCGGGCGGTGTGTCCATAACAACTCGTCTCATTGCCCCTACGGCCAAGGTACATTCCCAGTCTTCCAACAACCACTTCAGATACCACATAATCGGCATCATTCCCAATTAATGTGTCTTGAAAATCCAAATCAATCCTCACCCTCAACTTCTGATAAGTTGCTTCCTTCTTCGTTGTTGCCTCCCTCCTCCAAATGCTTAGTTTTATTGTTTGACCCTTTTTCCACCTTCTCCACCCTACCCTCACTCACTTCCTTTACTCCTAACTCCCTCTCCGAGACTTCCTCCTAGTGACAAGAAATAAAACCCCCATTCTCCTGTCTCAACTCCGAGCAAGAAGATGGACACGATTCTTGCATACCATTAGCAGTATCGAGCAACAAAGAGGCATTGCCCTGCATATCTTGAAATGACTCGTTCAAACTCAAATTATCTTCACATGTCCCTAAGCCACACCCATAAAATTGAATGTTAGCACATCAACCTCTGACGAAACAGCAAATAAAACCTTCTTCCAATGAATCCTACAAGCTGCCCTACKCCTCGCTCTAATTCTTCTCTCAATTCTCCTCTTTCGAATTCCTAACTTACCTTTACTCCAAGACATTGGACTCACCCTTCTTAAAGTTACTCACAATTTTTTTGATAAGTAAAAGAAAAAATTTATTAAAGAGAAACAAAAAAGGATTACATCCGAAACAGGTTTAAGATAACACCCCACAACCCCCCCCCCCACACACACACACACAAGACCTCCAACCATACTAAAACAAACAAACAAACTTCAAAAGACAAGCTCAGAAGAAAATAGATAGCACTTATACTTACTCACAACGAGGTAGCGGAGCCCAATTACTCTTCAATCTCTCCAAACTCTTCATAGCTTCCTTCCTCTTCCCAATTTTCTCCTTCAAGAGCATTTGCAATTCTCCTCACATTTCTTCTTTCCTTCAAATGCATTCCCAACAAGAGTTTCCCCTCCCAAGAAGAATAAGCCTAGGGACTTTCTGATTTCCACTTCTCTATCAACCAAACTCTTCAAGTCCATGCTTCCTCTCTTTTTGTTCCTCTCCATTTCCACATTTGAAGAGGACTCAGTGCTCTTATTTTTCATTCAAACAAACCAAACCCTCTTCCAAACCAACCTTTCTCAGATCCTTATCTTGGGAGATTGCTGAAAAAATCACGTTCTTGTTTTCAACCTGCAAAGGTTGTTTCTCCACTTGGGCAATCTCCAAATCTGAACTAAGAGAGTTCGGAATCTCTGCTTCATTCGAAGCCTTTCGAGATCCATATTTTTGGCTTACCTCCTTTTCTAAGGTATGCCCTTTTATAGTGTTTTGTTGGTCCCGCCCCTATCAAACCACTCCTCAGACAGGAGAAAATTGTAGTAACATGAATAATGTGCAAATTACTTGAACAGCGACTCTTCTTTGGCCTCTCCACATACCAGCCATCTCCCCATTCTCTGTCTTCCTTCTTCGCCCCAAATCGACACCAAGCTTGCCAACCACCACTTCCTCAAAAGGAGAGGAAAATCTGATGAAGTTACTTACAATCCTACTAAACTTGTGGGTCCCACTCTTGATATGATCTGAACCTAGACTCGAGAAGCTGCAATTAGATTTATTGGAAATGACCCCCTCTTAAAAGCTTCCCCCATGTGTCCCTCCTCCACTAAAGGCCTCTCAGCTCCCACCTGAGAAATTACAACTTTACTCCTCACCACCACTCCAAATTCTCCCCTCTCTCCCCCTCCTGACTATCCAACTGCCTGACCCTTCGGTTTCCATCGTCTTCTTCCTCCAAACTTCAATTCCCTTACTCAACCAACTCCCCTATTTCCTCTGCAAAACAAATGAACTTCTAAGTTCGATCAGGCAAAATCATTGTATCCTCTTGAAACCAACAAAGTGAGAAGCATCTTTCTATCACTAACCTCAAATTGTACCACTCCCCAACAAAGTTTAACACTAGACTCAGGGGGGATCAAGTGTAAGTTCTCTACTTCAACCAGGATTCTTGTTGCAACCAGACTCTTCAACTTGTACGTTCGAGCATCAACTCTTCTAAAACAACCACAGGTGTTTCCAATGGCACAAAACGTATTAAGATTCCAGGCATGAAGAGGGATCCCGAAGACATTAATCCAAACAAGGCTTTTGTTTCCTACTTCTCAAATTGCCCCCATGAGTAGATTCCATCTACCCATCTGCAGATTTGGCAACCTAAGCTTAGTTGTTTCACCTTCCGGGACTTCATCTGCCTCTTCCTTACTACAGAAAATAAAAAGAAAGAAGCCTGCATTTAGTTTTCTCACCTGAGCGTCTTCTTTTAAGCTCCACTCCGATCTGACCCATCTCAGAACCTCTACATCATCAGGTTCAGTGTTAACAAATCGACCTACCAGACACTTCTCTAACCATCTCACCCTCTCAATAACTCCTTCACTTGAATTCACGAAGATCTCTTTCACCATCATGGTTGCTTCCGGTTTCCTACATTTTCAGGATTCCTGTTGCCAACCCTATATAGTCACAAGAAAGGTTTTGTTGAGTCAGGTTGTGTTCAGCTGAGAGTTTAGGTAGGGATTCTGTCTTATATGTTATTGTTAAGCAGGGGATGCTTGAAAAATATAGAAATGCAAAGGCACTTAAATGAAACCATATGAACATTCCTTGGAGAGGCATGAGATGTAACCTCCCACTATAACATAAAGGAAATAAACAAATTACTATTGAGCCCAATACAATTGATTTTTTCACCCTTTGCTCAGTTAAAGCATCTGCCATCCAATTAGTCAACCTCCTCACCCAAGTTACCCTTAGGTCCATGCCTCTTGTAAACCATTTGAATTTCTCCATCTCATCCCTAAATCAACACATTACAGATTTTAGTTCCTTCAGCCATCCTACCACCAACTCTGAATGCCCTTCAATCTCCACATTACTGCTTGTAGTACAGCAAGCAACTCAGCCCTAATGGAATTACCCTCACCCACAGTAACAAAATGGTTTGCATCCTATTTTGAAAAAAAAAAAATTGCATTCACATTTTGCACCCTTCCCAAGTGCAACCTAAGGAATTCTTGGTTGTGACCCATTTTCTTGTTTTCTCATCCAGGCCCTACATATAAGATCAGCAAAAGAGATTGAAATCATCATCATTTCAACAAAAATGACCCATCTGATTGAGGATGCTTCAGGAAGTAGCTTCTTAAAACAGAGAAAATTGAAGGAATCGGCAATGGCTGGGTTTGTAAAAGGTTCCATGGTAGCATTGAACAACAAATGCATTCCTTTTTTCTCTTGGTTCCATTGCTAGACCTCACTGAAAATGGAAACAACCACATTGGCTAATGCACCCTAAAGATAGCTTTTCTCGACCAAGCTCCCAATTCCATCAGTAGACCTAACTTCCTCACCCCTGGCACATATCATATAATACCTCCTCCACTAATTCTTAGAGACCTCAAAAAACATTTGTTACTATATAGTATGAGCCTATGGCTCCTATAGCCAGCCAAAACATGGCACCACAATCACGTAACCCATGTTCCTCAAGAATCTTAAATTTCATGAGACAATATATTGCTGATTTTGATCAGCACCTTGGACCTAAGCTCCTTTACTTTTTATAAATCATATCTTAGTGATTAGAAATCATATATTTTATTGCATGTATGCTGCAAGAAAGCTATGAATCATATTTAAAAGTTGAAACCTAGACGTCAAAAATTTCATAACTAAGTTGGCCTGGAACCTAAACTCTTTTAAATCTCTTAATCCAAAATGTTCAGTTTTTCACTCATTAGAAGTGCATAAAAGGTTTTGCTAAGAACTACTATGAGATCATATATAAGCATGCACAGCCGCGTGAACAAAATAATATCCTTGTTAATGCACATTAAATTTGAATACAATATAGAATTACTAAGTTCACATACCCTTCAGATTCCCCGTCAAGAAGCAGAAGTTCCTTCACAAAATCCTTGACTTTATCATCATATAGAGACCGCAATCTTCTCTTCTGTAAACACAAACCAGTCTCTAATCATGTATCTTGTAGAAATAGTAATATATACACACAAACATACATAAATCTGGGCGGAAACATGGACATAATAAACTTACATGCCAATAATCACAACCAATAAATAAGACAAATGCAGATAAACAAATCTGGCTGCTTTTCAGACGGACGATACTGAATTTTCCAGATGAAGAATACACACTTAAAAGAACTAAATCTCAGTTTCAGTCTACAACACATTGGAACTTCATTGCATGTACAACCACTACCAAAATTTCCTTATGCTTCCGTCAACCCAAACCCGAGGCTGGGGCAGAACTCACGAAATTCACGCACACATCACCCTCACACCGAAATAACTGTTATAGTACTCACCTGTAATTCAGTTGCTCGATACAATGTTGTTCCCTTCAGCTCCAGAAGCTCATCATCAGTGAACCAAAGTGGATTGCCAAAGGTGGTCGGAAGAATGTCAAGATACCTATTATTGAATCCCTAATCCAGCTATCAAATGCCGAGAAAGAATGGAAGTATTAAATAACTAAATGGGCACGTACGGCTTCCACGACGAGTTCTTACGGAGACGCTCTACAGTGAGGAATAAGATCATCAAGAACCGATCATCTACTTCTCCTTCTTCGAACATGGCTCTACATTTCAGTCCCAGCAAAGGATCTTGCAGTACTCTCATCGGAGTTATTGCTAAATCTAGCGGAACAACCAGCGGAATCCCTGGAGAGTCTAGAGACAAAGCAGGGAACTTATAGCTCATTCATGTAAAAACCTGTATGTAAAGATTTGGTTCGAAACGTATTGCCCTATTACTACCTCCGTTGTTGTTCTTAGAAGAAAAAATACCGAACCCCTTGTTAGGACCGCAGTACTTGATCTTGCAACCACGTAATTCGACTCTGTTCACCTGGTTTCGAGTTCGGACGTTCAAATATAAATGCCATAGAAGCATTTAACGCAATAACAGACAAATGTAAATAAATACATGGTGATGAAGAGGAAATGGGGACCTGTAACCATTGAAGGAAACGTTCGAGTTTGGCTTCTTCTTGGTCTTCCATCAGTGTGAAGCTTAATAGCTTCGAGCAGAGATGATTGTTGGCAAACGCTAGGTCTAGCAGACAGCAGCCAACGCCCACAGGTCAGGCCATTTCCTAATTATACGTTTCATGCGCCAAATGTGGGCCTCGAAAGAACTGGGACGATTGTGGCATTAAAGGAGGAGATCAAATCAGCCCCCTCCCCCCATCTCCGCCGTGTATGACATCTCCCAATCCCGAGATGTTCCCAATATACGGCAAAGATGTGCTGTGTGGGACGTTGTGGTGGGGGCTGATTTGAATTCTTAAAGGAGGCTTCATACACGATGTTGAAGTGTGCTAATAAAATGTTCGAATAAACATAGTCCGGATTTCCAACCCACATAATTTCCCAGTCAAACATGGTGTGAGTTGGGAGGTAAGGTTTCATATGGAATCTCCTTTAAGAACAAAAGAAAGTTGAGAGTAGGAGATATAGCCTAAAGATTAGGGCGAATGAAATGATAGAATGATGATCTTGTTATGAGTTGACCCTTRTTTATAAGAAAAAATCTCAAGGTTCTAAAAGGAATAAATGAAAAGTGTTTGATTCCCATTAGGAAAGGGAATCTTAGATTCGATGTCAGTTGTTAGGGAATATTATTAGGGTTTCATTACATGTCTTATGAGATATCTTAAAGACGACATTTCCTTTCGTCTAGGGATTCTCGTAATACACGTGTGCTACTTCCTTCTATGACTATCTTAAACCGATGTGCCACGGGTGATGTCACTATTTAGCTCGCATGTCCTTGTTAGGTCCACGAGAAGTCCTGTCACGTGTGTTATTAATGACGCATGTGCTTCTTTTATTTTACTTCTATCTTGCGATGAGCGTAGCAGTTGTGCGATGGCTTTAAGCTCATTACAAGTTCACGCGGGTCTAAAGCTCATCCCAACATGTTTCGGGTTATGAATTCATTGCATGTCAAAGCTAGTTCTGCACTCGTTGTAGACATGTGTTGGGTTATGAATTCATCGCAGGCATTTATGTTGTATTGGTTTAGCGCCTTCTATGCTCTTATAGTCTAAGTGACCACCATGTACCTAACACATGGGAAACATCTTGTCATGTTCTTAATTCATGGAGGTAGCGTTTTATGAGTAAGCGTGGATTACTTGAGATTTTCTACCCACTCTATACCCGCCATGAATTGGAGTTACACATCTCTATTATGAATTGAGAGATGTGTAGCTGCAATTCACAACGGGTAGAGGGTAGGTAGGAAAAGTGAGTAGAAAAATTGGGTTCAGCATGGATAAAATTATTGTAGGTAGATCTGGAGTTGAATAAACAAGCTAAAAATCCCCACCACAAAAATAAAATTCTTCTTGTAACTAGCAATTAGAGACAAGCTGCCAACCAAAGAAAAGTTGTGTGAAAGAGGAATGAATGTAGATCCAGATTGTTAAGCCTGTGGGATAAGAGAAAACACTGCCTATATTCTCTAATGCAGTGTCAACCGGCTAATCAAGTATGGGTGACGTTGCCTAATATGAGGGCCTAATTTATACACTATGAGTCATTAGAGCCAAGGTTCAAAGTATCGGAAATGCCAAGTGTATATCGGAAAGGCAATTTTAAGAGATGTATCAGGATACGCCTTTGATACGCATACATATCAGAGAAAAACTAAGATACACATAGATACGCTTGGAAACACTATAAATACTTTAATAAATCATAAAAATACATCAACAACACTAAATATAAAACCTCAATGAGATATATATACATTAAATTAATATATTTTAATGGTTTTATGAAGAAATATATTGTAGGTAATTATAATTTCATTAAAAATCATATGCTTAACTATAATTTATAAATTATAATTCTTACGATTTAATGTTTTATGGGATGGGAAAAACTCAATTATCCTATCCAACTATAAAACATGCATTGGCACAACTTCTAAGTGAAAATATAATCAATAATTATTTATTATTTATTTTCAAAAATTATAAAAAATAAATAAAYATTATATAATATATTCAAAAAATAGTTATTAAAAAAGAAATTTCAATTGTTTTGTGGATATAAATAGATAATTTATATAATTATAATATATTCAATCATTGTGATCAAATTATAAAATATAGTTAATTAATTATTACTATTTTAATTTTAAAAATATAAAAATAAAAAATAATTATTAAATAAGAAATTTCAATTGGTCTATGGATATGAAAGATCATCCATAGAATTATAATATGTTCAATTGTTGTGATCAAATGATAAAATATAATTAATTATTATTCATATTTTTAATTTTAAAAATATAAAAAATCAAAAAATACTAAAGAAGAAATTTCAATTTCTCTATGGATATGATAGATAAATCCATAGATCTAAAACATATTTAATCTTTATAGGTGGAGAAAAATTACATTTTCAATTATTAATTTATATTTTCCCCAAATATCTTCATGAAATTTCCATAAATTTATTAATAAAAAAATATGATTTTAAATGTAAGAAATGTAGATCAACATAAATTTAAACATTTAAGAAAAAAAAAGAAATCACAAGATATTTTAAAAAATTGAACAAATTTACCTATTTTTGCCACATTTTTTTTAATTTGAAAAAAAATTAAAAGATAAATAACGATTCACATTTATTTCTTGCAATTTTTTGCAAATCTAGCACTCTAAGAATGAAGTTTGAAGTTTTAGAGTCATTTGGGGGTGAGAGAAGGCTTATTTCAAAAAAAAGAAGCTTGCTTTTCCCCTTTTTTTTTTCAGTTTTTGGTCGTATCTTTTTCGTCGATACACCCCCAATACGCCTCGATACGCCTTTGATATGCCCCGATACGGGTCTGATACGCATGAAAAAAAGACGCGTATCAAACATATTGTATTGAAATTTTAAACCTTGACCAGAGCATATATGATTAGTGGAAAGATGTATTAAAATCGGAAACTCAGAAACAAATGAAATATTTCTAGGAAAGAATTTCATATCTATTATGGTTCCTATTGGAAGAGCAGAAACGAGAGAGTATTTAATAACAAAGTAGGCACACCTAAAATAATTAGAGAGAGCGCTTCAAGGCTGCAAAGAATATATATAGAAGTTCAATAGATGGTGGGACTACTAAAGGACAAGGAGAGGAGAGTCATGGCCAATCAGCAGGCTCGATAGGTAATACTACCACCCCAGCAGATGAGGCACGATTGGAATTCTCAAAGGTTGGATGAAAGTGCCATATGGAAGAATCCGGATTTCCTGCACTTGCTTTGGTGTGGGACGTGGTGCACTTCTAATCAAATTGTGTGAACCAAATTAAATGGAAACTGGAAAGTTTGGGATGTTTTGTCTATAAAATTCATTTTTTAAAACTTTAAAATAATGGATAAAAAATTGACTATATGAAAGAGGTAAACAAAACAGAGGAGACATTTTTCTCAAAACCATTATAATAGAAAAACTTCAGCCATGAAAATACATCGTTAAAAAAATGATTTGTTTCTTCAACCAAGAGGGAATCATCGCTATAGAAAATTTTCAGTCACAAGCGTACACCATTAAAAAACGATTTGTAGGAGTAGATTGTTCTTCAGTAAAGGCGTAGAATTCAATTAAACTTATATTCATGAAATTTCTTTGCATTCAAATTCATTTACAGTATAGAACTAAGAAGACATTTTCTCATAATCATTACTACTAGAAAAAAAAGCAACCATAACTTTATAAATCTAACTCCTTTGAAAGATTCAGAGAATCTATCACATAAGCACATGGGTGGTTTAGATGTGATTTCCAACTACCTGTTTTGGTCTGTTGCTTAACTTGGTGCAAAGTGCAGCCTGATATTGCATAATACTCTTGTTATAGCTTCATTTGTAAAAAAGCAAGATCCTCAAGTGAGAAGGAGAACAGACCAGGTTGCACCAAGTTAAGCAACAGACCAGAACAGGTAGTTGGAAATCACATCTAAACCACCTATGTGCTTATGTGAATTAGATTCACTGAATCTTTCAAAGGAGTTAGATTTATAAAGTTATGGTTGCTTTTTTTTCTAGTAGTAATGATTATGAGAAAATGTCTTCTTAGTTCTATACTGTAAATGAATTTGAATGCAAAGAAATTTCATGAATATAAGTTTAATTACTGAAGAACAATCTACTCCTACAAATCGTTTTTTAATGGTGTACGCTTGTGACTGAAAATTTTCTATAGCGATGGTTCCCTCTTGGTTGAAGAACAATCTATTCCTACAAATCGTTTTTTTAACGATGTATTTTCATGGCTGAAGTTTTTCTATTATAATGGTTTTGAGAAAAATGTCTCCTCTGTTTTGTTTACCTCTTCCATCTATCGAACTTGATAGTCAATTTTTTTTTTCATTATTTTAAGTTTTAAAAAATGAATTTTATAGACAAAACGTCCCAAACTTTTCGTTTAGTTTAATTCACACATGCGAAACAGAGGACCATGTAGAAGGTAGAAGTGCACTGCGTTCCACACGAAAGCAAGTTCAGGAAATCCAGGTTCCATATGGAAACGCCAAGCCATTGTTTAAGAATGTAAAAAGTTATTAGATGAATAGAGAGTGAGATAACAGGGAAGGAAATAGGGTTGCAGACTGGCTAGCGAATCAAGGACTCAATGGACTGTTGCATGGATTGAGTGAGCTCAACGAGAGTGGAATTTTTATTTGATTAAAATGTCTCATTATTTTTAAATTTGGCCCCTCTCTAATTGTGTAGAAAAATAATTTTTTTGGTATTTGGTAGAAAAAGTAATTTGAATTACTACTTTTCACTTTAATTCCCTCTCACTAAGTCAGATACTTAAGTATTAATTCTCACCATATTTCTTTGATCCTATTTTCACCAAAATGCTCTTATTTTTTAATTCTGCCCCTTTTTAATTGTGAAGGTAAAAATGTAATTTGAACTACTTCTATTTATTTCATTCAATTTCGTCATATTAAGTTTTATATCTAGACCATGTTTGGTTTGCTATTCTAAGCCTCACTTTTTAATTCTTGTTCATCCCGAGTAAGAATGGGCAAAAACAAATAACATCAGAGCATTTTGTTACAAATTTCTTCTCATGGGCCTCATTCTTTTTAGAATGAAAAATTAGCTTATATCACAAAAAATTGAGATAACCTACAA